AACTAGCAAGCTATTGTGGCTGTTTAATGACTAGCAAGCCATGATGGTTGTTCATTAACTAGCAAGCTATTGTGGTTGTTCATTAACTAGCAAGCCATTGTGGCTGTTTAATGACTAGCAAGCCATGATGGTTGTTCATTAACTAGCAAGCCATGATGGTTGTTCATTAACTAGCAAGACATGATGGTTGTCCATTAACTAGCAAGCTATTGTGGCTGTTTAATGACTAGCAAGCCATGATGGTTGTTCATTAACTAGCAAGCCATGCTGGTTGTTCATTAACTAGCAAGCTAATGTGGTTGTTCATTAACTAGCAAGCTACTGTGGCTGTTTAATGACTAGCAAGACATGATGGTTGTTCATTAACTAGCAAGCCATCATGGCTGATCATTAATTAGCAAGCCATCATGGCTGATCATCAACTAGCAAGCCATCATGGCTGATCATTAACTAGCAAGCCATCATGGCTGTTCATTAACTAGCAAACCATGATGGTTGTTTATTAACTAGCAAGCTATTGTGGCTGATCATTAGTTAGCAAGTCGTCATCACTTCAGAAATTAGCAACTTATCATACAGGCTCAAAACTTTCTATAGGAACTCCACATAAGATAGAGATAAAGGACGTACATGAACTGGATAGCACTTCAAATACTACAGCTACAAGTTATGAGAGTAGTGGAACAAGACTGATTACAAATGGAGATGTACTAGATTCAACAACTGCAGCAACAAATTACAAGAGGATTGGAACAACGTTGATTACTAAGGGAGATGGCCTAAATTATGGACTGGTGGGCTCCTTCAACACATTTGAAATTGATACAAAAGACATTAACTCAGATGTTGATGTACGTGTTACAGGTAAGCATCTTATTAATAAATGTAATACAGAATGAGAATCATTAAATGTCAACCAGACTTATTTGACCAAATATCATGCTTAACCCTTCATTTACCACTTGTGTAAATCTGCTTACCACCCCCATATGCAAAGACTCATGAAATTTTTTGGTGGGCCATTCAAAATGTTGTGTGTAAAATGCTTGCATCATATGATGTCAATTGTAGTTGCCTATGCTGACATCATATGATGTCAATTGTAGTTCCCTATGCTGACATCATATGATGTCAATTGTAGTCGCCTATGCTGACATCATATGATGTCAATTGTAGTCGCCTTTGCTGACATCATATGATGTCAATTGTAGTTGCCTATGCTGACATCATATGATGTCAATTGTAGTCGCCTATGCTGACATCATATGATGTCAACCACACTTGAAGGGTTAAGTACCTCAATACTAACTTTGGTTAATCTAAAATGTTTTGCTATCTCAATGGGAAGTGTTATATGCTATGTTATTGCCATGTGATGTGTTATCTAATTCCCAAGTGTTATGCTACCTTATTGCCACGTATCATGTTACCTAATTGTCAAGTGTTATGCAACCTCACTGTGAAGTCATGTGTTACTTCACTGAAAATGCCATAATAAATGATTTTTCATGTGTTATGACAGTTTAGAAAATAGGTTGTAAATATTACAGTGGAGTTGAAAGTGAGTTAATCCATAGATATGTAAGCATTTTTAAGTTGTAGAACTAGAAATTTGTTTTGGCACTTATATATATACATGTACCTTTGCTAATGGCCCGGCATAGCCAAGTGGTTAGGGCACTCGACTTGCAATCTGAGGGTCACGGGTTCGAATCCTCGTCACACAAAACACACTCACCCTTTCAGCCGTGGGGGCATTATAATGTGACGGTCAATCCCAATATTCATTGGTAAAAGAGAAGCCCAAGAGTTGGTGGTGGGTGGTGATGACTAGCTGCCTTCCCTCTAGTCTTGCACTGCTAAAATAGGGATGGCTAGCGCAGATAGCCCTTGTGTAGCTTTGCACAAAATCCATAACAAACAAACAAACCTTTGCTAATTTAACCTCAGTGTATGCTGCTCTTTTGTAAGGTTTGGTCTTGAGTCTAAAATTCGAACATTAAACCACCAATTAAAAATATGTATGTAACATGAGCAATTTGAACTACAGTTTTCCAAGTTAATACAAATTAATATTCACTCAGAGATAGAGCTGGGTGATCAGTGAAATTAACGACTGGGCTCATTAATTGATTACATTAAATTAATTGGTTATTCTCTTATGAGACCTGGAATAATAAAAAATAGTAATAATAATCAGAAAAACTGATATAAATTATTTTTAAAATCATGAGTTGTGACACTAATTGATTGAGCTGAACAACCTTCAATTAACCAAAACTAATAATGAGAAATCATAATGGAAGTATTTCAATTACTTGGATTATTTTTGGGACATTAATTGATTTAATCATAATTCTGATTAAAAAGATATTTTACCTGACACTAATTGATGCTCATAAGTAATCAAATTAATTGTCCAGTTCTGCTCATTGACACAACTGATTTGATTGTCAATAACATTATTTTTATCAAATGTAATAGTCTGTTTGCTAATTTAAAAATATAGTCCCAGCACTAGCCAATCATTTTGGGAAAATTAGTAACTCTACCAGTTACGCTCCAGTGAGATCTAAACTACTGTAGGCTTCTCTTAACCTGTGGAAACATGCTTTACTACAGAAGGATAAAACACAACCAGTAATCTTATGGTAAAGTTCAACTTAAAAGTTACAGTATTAATTTGTGATATACTGAAATAAAATGTTTTTTATTAGTTAAAGACTGACCCATTACCAGAGATTTGGGGTCTCTGGTGTCAATTTAAAATACAGGGGCTCTATTAACGGATGTCTCACTTTAGTAATTCTGCATGTATTTATCTGTATAAGTAAATGGTATGTCTGCAGACTGACGATGCTAAAAACCAGGTTTCGATACTCGTGTTGGAGACACAGCACAGATAGTCCATTATGTAGCTTTGTGCTTAACTACAGACAAAAAAAATGTCAAAACAAAATTACCAGTTATGTAAACAAAAAAATTAAACAAAGTAAGCAAAAACACTGGTGAGATTGTGCTATTTGAACTATTTTAATTAAAACCTAAGTTACATATTTTCAGGACTAATGTTTACTGTATTGTAATGGGTTCTTCACAAAATATGCCTTGTTCTCTCACAAATTGTTTACACAGTGACTATTAACCTTTAGAATACATAATATATTTTAATTCTTTACCTCAAGGAAGGTGAGAAAAGGTGAATAATTTTACCTGGAAGGAGGGGTGGCCTGTGCAAGTGCACTCGTTGTACTCCCACCAACAACAGCCCAGATTAAAGACAACCAAAATTAATTATTTATATGACTTAATGTTACATTTTTGATTTGTAGCATGCAGTGAATTGTTATTCTCTTTTTTTGCTTTGTGCTTCTTACTTTTCAGCTATATTAGTAGTTAATAAAATGCTAGCCATTATAAAAATGAATAGTTTTATATTTTCTGAAATGCATCTTAGACGTGAAGGGAGATCTAATAATATTCACTAAAAATGATGAATGAAACAATGTACAATAAGTGCCTGGTTGAAGGTGATAATTGTCAAGATAATTTTGGAGGACTAAAGATCTAGAAAGGTAGCACAAGTAGGTCCTCCAGTCCTCCAAGCTTATCTCTACAAATGGCTCTCTAAAAACAATGTTTTTGTCTATTTACAACATAATCATGGTAGTTTTTAATATTTGCCATATATATTGTTTTTTTTTTAAAGGTATAGACGATGCATTTTAGAACTTCAATAATTTTATCAAAGGTATCAAATGAAAACTAGATAAAAGAACAAATCCTAACCCCATGATTCATGTGCTTGTCATTTCTTCACTAAATGGGCTATCTCCTTGATATTATACCTTGTATTAACTTTTCTTTTGATATAGGACCTATGGATATGCCTGTCCAAAGTTCTGTTGTTCAAACTGGAGATAGCACTTATCTTGTACAATATCATGCTCAAGTAGTAGGTACTTACAGAATAGATGTTCTACACAAAGGTATTCCTGTTACTAGAAAACCATATGTGGTACATGTCTGTGACCCCAACCAGGTCAGAATTGTAGACCTTGATGACGGTGTGTTAAACAGAGTGCAAAAGTTCAAAGGTTAATGTTTTTCTTCTACTGATTTTTGTGGTTTCTGCAACTAAGAACAGATAGTAAATCTGTTTTTGTTGCCAAATGTGATTTTGATATAATTTTTAGACAAAAATTTAATTTGTTAATCTCTATTTACTTCAGGTATTCAGGAGACATTTTAAAAACATAGATATTGGAGAATGATAATTAATCACATTTACAAGTGCATTTAAAAACATGTGAAAAGGATTTTTGTATTGGGAACAGCAAATTGACTTTACAGTATGTGAATTATGACTGACAAAACACTACATATTTCACCTAGTTTCTTTGTGAGCTAATTATATATTTATATCTCTAAGCAAGTTGTAAAAAAGAGAGAATTTGTGGTATGTGACAGGGATGAAGTGATAGTAACTTTCCATTATAAGAAAGCTGTAAATCCTCTTTTACACAATACTCTGACAATCACGATAGTACACAGAAGTTTTTAACTACATTTTTTACTGAAAAGAAATATATATTTAACTCTTAGGTATATCTTTTTCTCAATTACTTATGGAAGGTACAGAAAGTTAAGAAACAGTAAGGTATAAGATTGAAAATGAGAAAAAGGAAAGTAATCTCATCTTACAAATAAACTACAAAAGTTAAAAGATCAACACTGTCATATATATGTAATACCATTATTATAGCTACCTTGCTTGTTGGTGGTTGTGACTATTATACCCACTGATGGTAAATATACAAGTTCTACATGTTTGGAGTTGTTCTGTAAATTGAAAGACCATCTTCTATGGTATTTCCCTTTATGTCTTAATGTAATCAAAATTATGTTGTTTTTCTTATTTGAAGAAAATAACTACTTATGTTCTACTTCAGCCATGTTGAGTCATGTGACAACCATTTCTTTTGATTATATATTTGTTGAATTCAGTTCATATGGTTAATGTGAATCTTTAAAAGTGATGGAATTATAAAATATGAACACAGTAGTGAGATGCACTAAACATATGAAAATTTATAGTAACTGCCTGTGGTAGTGGCAGTTGATTTATCTTGACACTTTGGGTAATTTTCATTTCGAGTGTTCATTATGTGTGGCTAGCATACTTCTATCTTTCCACAGGCTCAGCCCCGAAGATGGGAAACAGAATGTCAAGATGAATCAACTGTCATTACAACAGGTTGTTGACACTCATAGAAAAACTTTGTCAGACTTCAAAGAGAACAGCAGCCTAAACCTCCTATTAAACAATTTATAGTAAATCTCTTTAATAATGTGTCAAGTAAATAATAATGTAGAGTGCAGTCATTTGTTCTTGTTTTATATAGCAGAATTAAGGTCTTGATTAAGAGAGACTTATTAAATTAAAATTTGATGATAGTCCCAAAGAAAATGTGTACATTGAGTAGTGTCTTTTGTAGTGGATACTTCTAGAGCAGGCCTAGGTCAAGTATCTGTTACTATAACTGTCAATAATCAAAGAGTTCAACATGCAGTGCAAGAGATCAGTCAGGGGATTCATCTTGTGACTTATACACCACAATCAGATCATACTCACAAGATTGAAGTGCTTTTCAATGGTCATTTAACTCCAGGTAAGATGTTGAGTTATTGAAAGTTTTAAAATTATTTGCTTATTTTGTCTTATAATTTTCCATCAAATAACCAAAGTTAGAACAGTATTTAATATATTGTGATTCTTTATGGCATCATGATTATAGCCTATACCTACATGTACTGTAACTTAGCTTTGTCCTTACTTAACCCTTCATTTGCAGCTTGTGTAAATCTGCCTACCACTCCATGCGCAAAGGTTCTAGAATTTTTTGCGGCGGGCCATTCAAAGTGTTGCAAACAAAATGCTAGCATCATATGATGTAATCTGCAGTTAAAAGAGGAGTTGTTATTAAAACCATCTAATAATTATGATGCTAACATGTAAACCAAAGAACAATAATTGTTTTTGTTTAAGTACAGAACTATGCAATGGGCTTTCTCTGTTGTGCCCACAACATGGATCAAAAACCCATATTTTAACATTAGAATCCCTCAAACTTGCTGCTGAACCATCAGGTCTGAAGATAATTATAAAAGAACTGTGCATTATTAATGATAGTTCTGCAGGAAAGTTTCCAGAAAGTTTAATGGTAATTAATTACTACAGAACAAGTGTATTGAAATAAAAAAGATAAGAAGCATTGATCATAGTATTATTTGCAATATAACCATTAGTTCAACAACTATGAACTTTTGAAGATTAGATTATGCTTTATCATGTATCTATCTATCTATCATCTATAATCCATTAATATCTCTCCTATTTATCAGATGTTAACACTAACTTTTTCTGATTTAATATTTAGATTTTGATATGACTACTGTGATATTAACATTTATTTATTATAGCACTCTTCCATTAATTATGAAATCTGACTTTATCCCTACTAGGTTGTCCTCGGATCGTACAAGTACGAGACCCATCCCAGTCAGTTATAGCCTATGGAAGTGGGCTCAAGTGTGTTTCTCTTCATAGTGATGCTACATTTGTAATAGAAACTGGTGGGGCTATTGCTGCCAATGAGTTTGATATTTTTATTTTAAGTAAGTGATTCTATATATTGAATTTTATTCTCTGCAAATTGTTTCAAAATTACAATTAGACCTTTGGTAAAATTCAGTAGCGTGAAGAATAGGCTTAAAAAGTTCATTGGTCATCATTCTTCAGATATGTAAAGATAAAGCCCAACTTGACGAATGAGTTAGAAGGTATATCAAGTGCCAGTATCTGATGCCAAACATTGGTTATGGAAGTGCAAAACGATGTAATGTATTCTTCCTAATGGATGGAAAAAAAATACAGGTGCATATATTTCTAGAGATTCTGAGTTGCTAATGATGGAAAACACTACCTACTATCCATGGAGTTTCCTCCAGAAAAGAAAAGAAATCAATGAGAGAGCACAGCAGTCAAAGTGATTGATCCTAATACTTGGCTGTCGTCAGAGGAAAAGATCAAAAACAACAGGTAGCATTGTTGGAGATTGAGCTGTATGGCAATTTGAGTTGTTAAAAAAAACTGCCTTACTAGCAACTACTAGCGGGTTAACTCATTATTTCAGTTGGTAGAGCACTTACCTTGTATGTCAGTGGTCCCAGGTTCAACTCCTGCTCAAGGGAGATGAAAAAATAAGAAAGACTGCCCCCCCCCCCAAGTAGTAGCCATCTCATGACCCTGAGATAAGACTCCAGAATGTACTTTGTCTGTGAGAGCAGAAAAATGTGGTATTTTGAGTTGCTGTTTTAAAAGTAGATTAATCCTGTAGTTTCATTGGTTAGAGCACTCTCTTGAATGTGAAACAGTCCTGTCTTCAAATTCTGTATGCCTAAGTCACAAAGACTGAAGTTACCATATCTTAATACTTCAGGCTGAAGCTCTTATAAAAACATTAGTGTAACATTAAGTTTCAGTGTATTTCAGTACATTACATAACAGAAAAGAATGCAATGAGACCTCAAAAGAAAAATCCTAAAGCATTACTGGAAGAGAACAATACTAACTAACAAATACAACTATAATTAAGTGAAATTTGAGATAACTACAAATAAAAAGAAAATGGAAAAACACCAGTAAATATATAACTATTCTTAGATTAATATTGAAACAATTGCTATATTAGTTTCAGTCATGAAAGATCAGTTCTCCAGATGAAACTATCCAAGCCTGTAATATGTCAAACAATTGATATATCAGTTTCAGTCATGAAAGATCTCTTCTACAGATGAAAGTATCCAAGCCTGTGATGTGTCAAACAGTTGTTATATTGGTTTCAGTCATGAAAAGATCGGTTCTTCAGTTGAAAGTATCCAAGCCTGTGATGTGTCAAATAGTTTTATACATCAGTTTCAGTCATGGAAAGATTTGATAATAACTTCTTACTCTTTCTTTTATAAATAGTTGATTGGGTCATTGAAAGTAATATATTTGATCATTTGAATTTGATAAAATTAAGAACTTGCTATTCATTTTCTTGGTTTAAAACAATCCATCATGTTACCAAACAAAAAGCTAGTGATCGTATGAAAAACAAGTTAATTTTTTCAAAATACCAGTACTTGTGTAGACATATGGCGTATGTTGATCTAGCATAATATTACCGTATGCTAATACATTTTTATTACTTCACTGATCAATTACCTTAAAAGAGAAGAAAAAAAAGTTATGAAATATCATTTAATTATTATCTAAATTATGTTAAATTAAAAAATATGTTATGCAAAAGTTAAGAAATAATTTACTCTTTTGTAACTTAGAGTGAGTTTTTCACTTCAGAACATTTTACCTCAAAAGTTATGGTTTAAATACTGAAGGCTGGCAAAGCATTAAAAGTCAATAGGCTTAAAATATGTGATAAAAATCATGTCATCTGCAGATGTTTTTGTTCCACATTCCTTTTAATTTGTCCATTTTGGATTTTAAAATTAGAGGCATGTAAACATTTCATCTTGTGTTCAGACTTGCTTTGTATAGACGACAGATTGGGTATACCCAAACTTCCATTATCTTCCAAGTTAAACTATGCAGAAAAGATGGGAAGACAAGATGCTTGTAACTAACATCATACTTAGATTTTGTTTAATTGTTTTATGTCTGGTAGTTTGGGTTTTAGTAGAGGGTATTGTATCCATAAATATGCAGCTTTTCTGAAACCTGGAATATTTTACTTGAAATGATTAATATAGTGATGATGAAAATGAGGTTTAATTTTGCAATTACTTATAATAACAAAAAGTTGTCTGTGGTAAACAAACTTGCTGTATTTATAAACATGGTAAAGATTGATTTAAACTGTGAGATAAAAAACACGACTTCCCTAATTTTTAGGCCCCAGAGGTTTTCCTTTACCTGTCAAGTGCTACCAGCAGAAAGATGGAAATTTATTGGCCGAGTGGACACCTGATTCTTATGGTATGTTTCACTGTATGAAAGAATCATTATGAGTAAAGGTCATAATTTATCGAATAAGCTGAAAATATTTTGTAAACATCGGCGCCTACAGATGGCAGCACATCCATGTTTGGTGTTCTCAGTAGCTTCAGTATTCAGCTAGTTTGTGTTAAATTATTACACTTAGTTTAGGTGGTAAAAAAGAAACAAGTTTTAATATTCAATGTTAATTTATTGATTAATAAAGAAAATATTTTGAGTGTTAGTGGTTTTTTTGTTTCCAAAATAATAGTTTATTATTATTTAAATATTTTCAAATTAATTTTATATGATGGGGGTCCACTCAGACCTAGAAGAGTGACTGTGGGAAATATTTACAGAAGACTAACACAGGTTTAAAAAAAAACATTAAAAGATTTTTGATGATTTTTTTTTAACCCAGTCTTTTGTGAAATGCCTTTTTGTGTTATTACCAAGTCTTTCGTTAATTTGAAGAATTAATTGATACTGTTTGACAAAACAAAGTACTTTAAAACATTGGCTAATTTCCCAGCTCAACTATCACACACACACACACACATATATATATAATGAAACTAAAATAAGAAATTATCATATATTATTTATGGAATTTGCTTAGAACCCAAGTAAAACAGTTATATTATATTCCAGTTTAGTTATTAATGACAATGTTCTCTACCATTGATGGATGTGAAAGCTGTTAAAATGTACTAATATTAACAGAATAATGCATTTTTTGAGTTTTCGTTGGAAATTAGAAATGTTGCATTAAACAAAGGTAGAATATGTGGTGTTTAGCTAGATACTAAGAGAAGCACTCTATCAGCTGTAACTGTTACAGATACTGGTATGTTAGTAAGAAATTATAACTTATTCTGTTCAAACTTATGATTCATTAATAGTGTCGATAAATCAAATGTTTTCAATAAAAGGAATTCAAACAGCAATATGTAGTACCCATATAAATATGTTTCTAATTAGTAGTTATTGCTTATTTTTCGTGTAGGTGAACATAAGATAGATATTCTTTATATGGATGCACCAATAGATGGTTCTCCCTATACCTGCCAAGTGTTTGATTCCACTAAAGTAGTGATACAGAAGACAAAAAATGCTGTTTTTTTGGTTGACAAAAAAATTTCATTTACTGGTAAGTCTAGTGATAAAACTGTAATGTGATGGATTATCCCCGTGAGTTATTATACTTGTTAATTAGGTGTTTTTAGTAGTGGGGTGTTTTACTTATAAAGTATTATTTTTTTTCTAAACTTCAATTCTGTAGTATGATTAGTATGTTCTAACTTGTGTTTCTATAGTTGCAAGACCTGGCGTGACAAAGTGGTTAGGGTGCTCGACTCACAATCTGCAGGTAGCAGGTTCATCTCCTCGTCCCACCAAACATGCTCACCCTTTTAGCTGTGGGAACATTATAATATGGCAGTCAATCGTACTATTTGTTGGTAAAAGAGTAGCCCAACAGTTGCCAGTAGATAGTGATGACTAGCTGCCTTCCTTCTTGTCTTTCACTGCTAAATTAGGGATGCCTAGCACAGATAGCCCTCGTGTAGCTTTATGCGGTATTCAAAACAAAACACACTATTGTTTCTTATAAAACACTTGTAAATTTAAATATATAAAATAATAAACATCACAGAGTTAAGTTCATATTGTACAGAACGTGCTATATATATGTATATATAAAAGTGGAAAGTGTAGTACAGACACTTAAATATGGGACATTGGAAACTAGGATATTATAAAATAACTATTTAATACCATAGTTAAGCAAAAGTATAATTTCTGGAAGTATTGATGCATTTAGTTAGCCATTATCTTCATTTAAATGGAAACTGTATTAGTGTTAGTGGGTGAGCTTGTTGCAAGAAAGTTGAATCTTTCTTAGTTTTTGCATGTTTGCAAAGTTTTATAAAATTTTTTGTCTTTATTCACTAACAAATTCTCCAAGTGGATAGAGTCAGTTAATTACATCTAGTTTTGTAACATGAACATGGAAGTTATTTTTAACTACGTGAAGAACCTGCCAAGCTGTCCATTGTCTCTTAAGCTCTTTATATTAACACAATGCCCTTATTCGTTCAAAACCGAACAAGAGACATATTTGAAAGTCTGTACAGTAGCATCAAGAATGGTAGCTTTGTACCTGGAGCAACAGTATTAGCAAGATATTTATATGAAAATACTGTGATATAACTGGCACCTCCCACCTCTTCTCCCCCTCCCTCCCCAATACCAACACTTAGAATTGTTAAATTTCATTAATTCTGAATTGTCATAACACTTCTTACAAAATTTGCTAGTAACAGCTTTTGAGAACTGTTATTTCAGTAAGTCGACAAGAGGCTGGGCATGCTGAACTTGATGCAACTGTCCTTAGTCCTTTGGGTCACCACACACCAATAGAAGTGAAAGGAGCTGAAGAAGATGAAGAAGCAGTAATAGAATTCATGCCAACAATCCCAGGGAAATATAAAGTAGGAATTACATATGGTGGGGTAGATGTACCAGGTATGTGTGATAATGATAATGTGTTGCCGTTAGCGGTGTTAGGTATTTCTGATCAGTGACATCAGATCTCTATACTTAATGTTGTGCTAAGGAAAAAATATTAAGTAATGTGTATTAATGTTGTGCTTTTTTCTGCTTCTTTATCTTAAGAGAAACTATTCTTCAGTATGATTAAGGTCCAGAAGAAAATTAACCTAAATACGTGTTTACTGTCTGTCACAGTTTCGTTTTTTTTTCTATCTGAAGAGCAATATAAACACACAAATACGTGTTTGTGTGCATTTTTTTTTTTGATTTTTTCTCAGATGATAGTATGAATTTTTAGAAATAGTGTACGATAATAAAAATGAAGAGATATGAGTGGATTTTAAAAATAAATTTTAAATTCATATAGCATACCGAAGGACACATAATGTGGATATGTGTGCTTATGTAATCTTTATACTGAATATCTTGTTTAGTGGTAATGCTGTTTACATTTTACCATTTACAGGAAGCCATGTTTCATTGTTGAGTTGATTATAACTTTACTAGAGTTAAACTTGAGTTAGTTCATCGCTCTTTTTATTCATTCTTCTAGGAAGTCCAGTAACCTTCATTGTTCAGGAAAAAGGTACCCCTAAAGTGGAAGGAAACGGGTTGGTGGTAGCCTGTGTGAATGTTACTGCAACATTCGTAGTCAATGCTCATGGTCTGAGTGGCAGACCTAATGTACGAATAGAAGGTAAGACTTGTTTAATCGTAGCACTGAAGTATGTGTAATTATTCATGACAGAAAGTTGTCTAAAATTTCATTGAAGGCTGTTACAAGGTTATGTCACATAGAGCCATAGCACACTTGTAAAATGAGCATAGTTTTATACCTAATGATAATGGCATAGGTTTTGTTTTGCATATATTATAAGCACATATCATAGGTTAGTACTTGTTAGATGCTTTTATCTTGTATTGTAGCACGATGAAGCCAATTGTCATTAATCATGTTTGATTATGTTAATGAGCATTTGTACATTACATGCATAATACATTACAGAAAGTTGCTTATATTTCTGGTATGCATCATAGTGAACATGTTATATTGAGGGGTACACTTCAGTTAAAAAGTAACTAATTTTTCAGGGTTATTAACCTGTCAAGTTATTGTTATCTTATTCCATTGATCTGTCATTAGGTCCTGAGAGAGAAGCTGAGTGTTCCATAGACGAAGAAGAGGATGGAGTCTTCATAGTAAGCTACATTCCCGAAGAAGTTGGAGTCTTTGATGTTAGAATCCTCTGGAATAGTCAAGAACTTCCTGGTAAAATATGTAACAAAAGATTGATATTATGCTATTAATTCATGTGTGAAATGTTTAGAGTAATACTATAAAGTCTGTATTTTTGGCTTATCTCATTGATTCCGTTAACGATCAATCTCTTTCTATCCATACGATTTTTCTTTTTCAGATTTTCCTTGTGAATAACTAACATGATCTGATGACCAGCAAGGTGGAACCTGCTGATCATCCAGTTAGTTACGAGTCTTGAATGTTTATGAAATAATGTTTATCATTTTTCAACCAGAGATTAACCTTTTGGTAAGTTAAACTGTTGGATGGCTAGCAATTAGTCCTCTTATGTTTAGCCCTTAACTATGATGATTATCCAACTAGCAGTCTTAATGAAAAAAAATTGAAGTTGCAAAACCTCATGGAATGTTACATCCATATTAAGTTCAAAATACTGATAGGATATAATATAAATCACAAAACGATACTGATTTTGTGTTGTTGTTTAATCAAAGCAAGTGTTAATTGGCAGTACATAATAGAAGTACAGCTTCACTTACAGAAACTTGCCTGGCTATAAAATGTTAAAAACACTTTTTCTTTTCTTAATTCAAACAAAGCATGAATTTATAGTGTTTCAGAAGATTCTAAATATAGTTTATTATATTAAAGACATGCTTATTCCGCAGCAAATGAATTACGTTTCTTAATAATTTTCAGTTTTATGGAAGAAAAATGCATACTTACCATTCTCAAACTTTTCTAATCATTGTTTTACCCGTTATAACAAATATGAACACTTCTGTAAAGCTTATCTCATCAGTACTGCTGATTGGAAAAAACCATCTTGACATACCTTGCTCATATTGGACAGTGGCGTAGCCAGGTTTTCCACTCGGGAGAGGAGGGCAGAAAGTTTTAAGGGAGGGCCAATAAATAAATAAGCTGAAATTGATCCAAATTTTTTATAAGATGGTCAGTAAAACAAATCAAATCAAATATATAATAGTGTTTATAGAGGTTTTATTTATTTTTATTAAATGATACAAAACGAGTTTATTATATATAAAAGCTGAAAAGTAATATGTGATCAATATGCCTAGATGATATGCCTCTGATATTGGGACTCAACTTGTGTGTATTGGGTTCGTGCTAATAATGATTAATCTATCAATTCTAGTCAGACTGTTTTTATTTCTAAGAGGTACTTTAATTCTAGAAAATAACGTGTTTATACAATTTTTAAAGATTGTAGAATATTGCTTCCATATTTAAATTTTTTATTCCCATAAAATGTTTTTAAACTAGATATTAATTTTTCCACAAGTTATATTTTCAATACAAGACTACCCAAAATATACCCCCAGTGGTTCAACTGTAAGTGCTACAAATTGGGTTTTGATAACTGCAGTGTGAAAAGCACAGATAGTCCATTATGTAGCTTTGGGTTTAAAATAAAAAACCTAACCAAAAACTAGTAAGCATTTATAAGCATTAAATAATTTACATAATGTTGTTTATATTAATTAAGGTCAGTTGCTACTTTTTTACAAAGAATTACATTTTCATTTAATTAAAATTTCACAACTTATTTATTATAGGGTTTTAAAAATAGTTGCACCAGAAGAAAAAACCAGTTTACACATTTTTATGGAGATGTTTTCATAAATGAATGATATATTACAAAAATATTGAGAGTATACTCTGAGCAGGTGTATGTGTCACTTTAAGTATTAGATTGTTTTTAATAGGTAATAGAACTTTTTCTTTCTTTTCTTTCTAATATTTATTGAAAGCAAGCCCCTATCATCCTCGAGTGGTTGACCCACAGAAAGTAAGAGCAATAGGTGGCTGGGAGACGTTGTTGGATGAAGATGGTCGTATAAGTTTGATTGCTGGCGAGGAGAAAAAGATACCTTTTGATGCCACTGATGCTGGACCTGGTTAGCAGTTTTTGTGATCATTGTTTTTCCTAAAAAAATTTCATTGTAATAATTATAGTATTTTGGCACTTGTGTATAAAGTTAAAAATCATAAATAATGTTCAACGTTAAACTGGTAAACAGTTAAAAACATTTTATTTAGGCCTATCTATGGCCTTCAAAAAGTTGACGACTCTACATGTTTCGACGTTACAATGTTGTAACATCGAAAC